GGCTCAGAAGTGAACAGTATCTTTAGTTTCTCAAATGCCCGCTGGCACTCGGGTGACCACTCCAACTTACAGCCCCCTTTCTTACTCTCAGGACCTTTTCCTTTCATTTTTAACAAGTCTGTCATTGGGAGGATCACCTTGGCAAAGTTGGGGATGAAGGGACGGTAAAAATGGGTGAATCTAGAGAATGTTTGTAATTGTCTCCTGGTTCGAGGGGGCTTCCACCCCAACACATCCTGCACTTTCTTAGGATCCATGCCCAACCCTTCCCCGGTGATCCAGTACCCCCAAAAGTCTATTTCCTGCTTGTCAAACTCACACTTGGACAGTTTAGCATAGAGGTGGTTGTCATACAAGGCCGTCAGTACTTCCCTCACCAATTTCACGTGAGATTCCAGGTTAGGTGAATATATTATCATGTCATCTAAATAAACAACCACACCTTTAAACAGGTGCTTGTGCAATACTTCATTGATTAAATTCATGAACACCCCCGGGGGCCCCGCCAGCCCAAACGGCATCACCAAGTATTCAAACTGGCCCAGCGGGGTGTTAAATGTGGTCTTGTGTTTGTCCCCCTCCCTTATGCACACACAGAAATAAGCATCTCTTAAGTCCAGCTTGGTAAAAATTCTCCCCTTGGAAGCTTCAGCCAATAAATCCTTGATCAAAGGGAGGGGGTAAGCATTGGAGACTGACACGGCATTCAACCCTCTATAGTCCGTGCATAACCTGAGCCCTCCATCCTTCTTTTTCTGGAAGAGCACTGGGTCAGCGAATGGGGAAGTAGCAGGTCGAATAAACCCTCAGCTTGTCTATGAACCTGCGCAACTCCTCCTTTTCTGAGGGGCTCATGGCATATAGTTTCCCTTTAGGCAGCTTTTGCCCAGGTAAAAGTTCTATGGCACAGTCAGTCTTGCAGTGAGGTGGTCAACCTCCCCTTCCTCAAACTCTCGGGCCAAGTCTCTATATTCCTCTTGAATAACTTCCATTTCCTCTGCAGCCAGACACACCCGCTCAGGAGCTGGCTGGGGCTCCACCCCCCATTCAGAGTTCCATGGAGGCTCTTTGCACCAGGGGTCTAGGAAAGTGAGGGTTTTCACACTCCATTGCACATAATGGCCGTGCGCCTGTAGCCAGGGACTGCCTAAGATCATAGGGAAACTGGCCGTTGGATGTATTACAAGAGATTGCATCTCCCAGTGCTCCGACACCCCCATTGGCAGTTTAACAGTCTTATGTTTTAAATTTTATTGTATTCATTAAATTATTGTAACCTGCCCTGAGCCCGTTTACGGGATGGGTGGAGTCTATGAGGGAGTCTCCTTGGGATTCAACACAGTCACAAAAAAGAGGGAGGAAGAGGATCTCACTGATTCTCGTGCCGGGGTGGGGTGGACCTGCTGTTTGGAGCTCCTCACAGCAGGTCCTGGCCTTTCCCCTGCTCCTGTAGCTCCTCAGAGCCACTGGTGGAGGGGCTCTCCGAAGTGATGTATTTGGCGGCCTGCAATGCTCTCAGGGACTTGGGTCATCTTCTGGGCGGCTTGGCCTTCTTCTCGCGGTACTCCTCCCAGTGCCTTCTCTCCTCACTCTTGGGTTTCAGGCAATCTGTGGCGAAGTGGCCGGACTTCCCGCAGCGCAGACAGAGGCCCTTTTGCGATTTTCTCGGTCCCCACTGGGTAGTGGTCCTCTACCCCGAGTCATCCACGGTGGCCCGGCTCCCCGGGCTGGTGTCTTGTATTGGTAAAATTTTACCAAATTATGCCTGTTCTCAGCTTCACAGGCTACCTGGATCCATCCCACTAAAGTTAGGGGATTGTCTTGGGTCAGTACCTTCCGAGGATCACGGTGTTCAGCCCTGCTCTGTAGAATTCAATCAGCATTTCTCCAGGCCAGCCATGCAGCTTGGTTGCAGTGGCTTTGAACTCATCGCATGCAGCTTGGTTGCAGTGGCTTTGAACTTTGAATAGTCTTGCACCGACCTGGTTCCCTGACGCAGACCTCTTAGTTGGGTGCGAGCCTTTTTGAGCTCCAACGGGTCCTCGAATTGATGGCGTAGAGCCTGCATGAATGCATAGATGTCTTGTAGTTCTGGGGCAGCAACACTGTAGAGCCCCACAAACCAGTCTGTGGCTCTCTCCCAAAGTCACAACCCTACATAATCCACTTGCTGTTCGTCCAATGCAAAGGTGTGACCCCACTCTCGAAGCATCTTCCGTACTTGGATGGCAAACAATGCAAGCTTCCGTGGGCTGCCATCGAAGGTGGCTTCTACTGCATCGTGGGGTCATTCTCGCTCCTACTCATGTCTTTTAGGGGGGGCGTGGAGGTCGCTCAGGTTCACCTTCGGCTGTCTTCTCCTTGGACTCCTCCTCCTTCTCCATTAATTCCTTCACTCACTTTGGTAGGTTCTTGACCAGATACTGGAAGCCTTCTTTCAGCTCCTTCAGCATGGTCTGAAGACTTGACTGGCCTCGCTCAGGACCTGGTTCATCTTCCCACTCTTCTCTCACCTTGCCCAGGTCAGGGTCATCATGGAAGGTTTGGGAGACTTGGTGCCTCTCTCGATCCATCCACCCCTGGGGTCCACGGAGGCTGGGATACTTGCCAGGCATGGTGGGTTTGAAGAGGATGTGCTTTTTTGGCTTGGTGCCCGTAGACTTATTGTCTCTCTTCTTGTCGGGGTCGTGCATGGGCTTCTCAGGCTCAGACCCGGTACTCGCAGTCGCCCCTCCATCCTCATCTCCGTTCCCCATGCCGAGGAGGGTTGGGGTTGCAGGTGAAGATGATTATGGGAGTCCTGACAATATGTACCGTAGATCCCCAGTTAAGACACTCTCCACAAACTCTTTTGGCAGTGAATGCTTTATTAGAGGTTTTCTTACTCAGGTATTGGAACTTTTGTCAGGACTAAAGAAAGTGCATGAAAATCCAGAAATGAAGAAGAAGAAGAAGAAGAGATTGGATTTATACCCCACCCTTCACTACCCAAAGGTGTCTCAGAGAGGCTTACAAACTCCTTTCCCTTCCCCTCCCCACAACAGACACCCTGTGAGGTAGGTGGGGCTGAGAGAGCTCTGACAGAAACAGTTTTTTTTCAAGAACAGCTGTGCCAGAACTATGGCTTGCCCAAGGTCATCCAGCCAGGTGCAAGTGGAGGAGTGGGGAATCAAACCTGGTTCTCCCAGATTAGAGTCCGCGCACTTAACCACTACACCAAACTGGTCCAAATGCCCCCTTCCATCCATGCATACGCCAGCAGTCAGGCCCCTAGAGTTACCATGACACCCTGACAGATATATGGTGTCTTATCTATTCTAGTTTGGCAAAAGAGTCTCCAAGGCCAATCCCATGGCAACAGGCCAAGGGGTGCAACTTGAGGGAATTTTTTTTTACATATAATTTTAATTTTTATATATAAGACAAACAAACAAAGAACAAACATGAATACATATATAGGGGGACACAGTTGTTCATTTTTACCAGTGTCCTTGATCTCATATTTTAAACTAACGATTTTCATCTTATACTAATAGTTAAGTCTATGTTTCTTGATTCCTTTTATTATGGTTAGAAGTCCAGGAATTCTACATATTATTTTCTTCTAGCCATTCATAAAAACTTGACCATGAATTTTGAAAGTCTTCCTTGTTGTTTCCTCTTAATATCATAGTCAATTTGTCCATCTCAGCGATTTCCAGTATTTTAGTGATAATGTCTTCTTTTGTAGGAACTTCACTTTTTCTCCAGTATTTCGCATATAACATTCTTGCTGCTGTTACAATATGGATAGTAATATAAAAGTCTTGTCTTTTATAATTTTCTGGTGTTATATTTAACAAAAACAATTCTGGTATATAAGGCACAGTAATTTTTAACACTTTTTGTAACAATTCATGTATCCAAGCCCAATTAGGAAAGGCACAAAGCCTGCATGTTTAACAAACAAAGTATTGGAAGCTGTAAAAGGTAAAAAGGATTCCTTTAAGCAGTGGAAAGCTAGTCACAGTGAGGCTGATAAAACGGAACACAGGCTATGGCAAATAAAATGGAAGTCTGTGGTCAGGCAGGCAAAAAGGGAATAGGAGGAGCATATAGCAAAAAACATAAAAACCAACAATAAAACTTTCTTCAAATACATTAGAAGCAGGAAACCAGCCAGGGAGGCAGTAGAGCCCTTCGATGACCAAGGGGTCAAAGGAGTACTAAAAGGTTATAGGGAAATGGCTGAGAACCCTCCCTTGCTTGTGAGCCTCCAAGAATATTTGTCGAGCTGGTGCTGGGAGCAGAATACTGGACTGGTGGACCTTTTATCTGATCGCAGGCAGGGCTGGCTCCAGCCTTTTTTGAACACTAAGCAAGGATACCTTCTGGTGCCCCCTCCCCCAATTTTAAAATATAAATGCATTTTAGGAAGAATGAAAAACACAACATTTGAAATTGCTATTATTATTTTTTAATTGTGAGAAAAAGTAATACCATATCTGATTTTATCTCTCAAACAGAAAAACACAAATCACAAAGGATTTTGAAAATCCTGAGGCCAGCTGACCCCCCCCCCCCCCGCCTTGACGGGGAAGGCACGGCAGCAGCAGCGGGACCCGAGGGGGGGCGTGGATCCCTGGTCTGGAAGGCAAGCGATCAGACACCCCCCGGCGCAGACCCTCCCCCCCCGGTGCAGACCCTCCCTGAGGCCAGCCGCCCCCCGCCTCGACGGCGATGGCACTTTCGCTTCGCCAGCAGGCTGCAGGCAGCATGATGGAAGCCTTCGGGGTGCCGCCGCCTTCCCCCCCGCTGCTGCTGCCCTCGCCCCTCGACCATCCCCACTGCTGCCGCTGCCCTCGCCACTCCCGCCACCCACCCCCCAGGGCCAGCTCATGAACTTACCTTCCCTGAGGGCTGGGCTGGCTAGTGGCTGGCTGGGGCTGCTGCCAGCGATGGGGAGTGCGACTGCGGGAATCGCGCTGGCTGGCTCAGAGGGCAGTGGGGGCTAATCGGCGATGGGTCCAGGCGCAGCAGCCAGCGGACCAATGGGCGTGCTGTGTGTGAGTTGGGGCGGGCAGGACAGGCGCATGGCGAGCAGCATGTGCACCGCGGCAGCGAGCTAGACTAGCAGGCAGCGGCTTTGGGCAGGGACGGTGGGGGCTTTTGGGGAGGCGGCGGCGGCAGGGCAGTTGGTGCCCTGGACGGAGCTGCGCCCTAGGCCAGACACTAGCTGGCCTAGTGAGAGAGCCGGCCCCGATCGCAGGAGAAGCGACTCTGAGCATCTATCGGCCTTCTTGCTCACTCTGCTTTCTGCCAGCTCAGCACAGAGCTATGGAATTTGGAAGCACAAGGCCGACAGGGAGCAGGGAGGTGAGGACTGTAAAGTCAGAGCAGTCAGGAGACCTCCCTGTGCCAACAACAGGTGGTCAAGGCAGACGACACTTGGTTGCAACACGACATTCTCTCTCTCTCTCTCTCTCTCTCTCTCTCTCTCTCTCTCTCTCTCTGGCCTTGGGCTGCAATCTCAAGCTACCCTTGTGGTAAACACCGAGGCTTGGTGGGTCAACATGGTTATGCTGCAAGCTTTAAAAAATCCAGCCGCTGCTCCAGTGCTTTTCAACATCCCACAGTTAAAGCTGGCAAACTCGTCCTTGCCACTTTAATTCCATGCCAGGAATAGCTTTGTCTGCTAAAATGCCACGTGCCCGGCTGTTCCAGGGGCCAGAAGAGCACATTTGGGGGGAACTGGCAGTCTGACAACTCTCCTGTAAGCATTTCAGGGGTACATCAGTTGTGAATGGTCGACTGGCTGGAGGCAGGAGGTCAGGTGTGGCTGGATCCTGCCCCTTGGAGTAGACACGCCTCCCCTCCCAGCCCACCAGCTGGGGGCTCTTTATATTCTGGGATGGTTTCCCAAGAAACGGCACAGTTTTTGCTGTGAGCAGGGGTTTCATTCCACTTGTCGTTCAGGTCCTCTGGGTGGAGGTGAGTTTTTGGAAGTTTTTGATTGATTGAGGGCTTTGGAGGCCAGAGGAGATGAGATTGTGCTGCAGATCTCAGAAGAGCCACACGGGCAAAAATCAGAGGTGCACTTTTGGGGGGGGGGCTTGCACCTTCTTGAGAGGGCTGCAGTCTTAGTCTCTGGGAACCTCTCCCGTGCCAGTTGCAGGATGCCCTTAGGACCCCCGCATGCTGGGCGCCATTCCTTCAGATTCAAATGAAAAATGCCCAAAAATGTATTTTCTGGTAGCCCCCCCCCCCGAGACAAGAGGCAGCAATCCAGTGTTTGTTTTCCGAATCTGTAGTGAAGAGAGAAGCTGGTGATCTGTAGGCATTGGGAAAGTCTGAGCTTCAGCTGGGAAGTTGTTGATTCAGATTTGACTTTGGTCACAAGTGCATTCGAGTTTGATTCTGCTTGAGTGAAGACAGCCGGCCTCATGGGGCTGTTGTAAAGTTTACTGAGTGCTCAATGCATGTGCGTAAAGCACGCTGAACACTTCAGCTAAGGTAGTGTGAATGCTTCTTGTTCCTGTTCCATCCCGTCATTGCTCTGGGATATCTCTCTGTGCTATATTCTGCTTTTCCTTAATTTTGATTTAATTAAAATGATGTCTAAAATTAATCCCTCAGTTGGATTGTGTGCAGTTTGCCACAGGCTACAGTTAATGTGCATATTTCCCTCCTGCTGTGCTATTAATGTGCACGCGCATATTGATCAGCTATTGCAACAGAAGAGAGAGGAAGAACGTGATATGATCATACTCATGTTTGGAGCAAAACTCTGTTTTGCACACTGTTTTCCTGATGCGCCTGCATTGCTGTGCACTAATAAAACCCTGCACAAAATCAGAGCTGATACAACCGCTATGTGCTATCGCATCAAGATGGATAAAATGCTGCAGAAATACTTATGTGCTCTTCAGGGAAACAGAGGGGTGGTGGTCAAGGGATGTGAGCATGAGCAAAAGTAGTTGAAAAGTATGGCAGATTGCAACTTGTACAAAGTTCTGGAGAGCGCATAGCCTTGAGAAAGGGGATAGCAAACGCTTTCTCCCCCTTTCAAAAGATGTTGGCACTGAGGGGCACCCAAAGAAATGGATGAGCAGAGCAAAGGGGGCGCTTCTTCACAGAATGCATGACTGGCTTTTGGGTCAGGTTGCCAGACTCTAGGAGGGGTGTTTTGCACATCATGAAACTTGCAGAGCATTCCTGAATTTGCATTGCTTTGCCTCCAGAAACATGACAGGTTGATTCAGAACTCCCAAATTGCCCTGGAAAGGCATAGCGGGAGAGTCGCATTAGCATCTCTGCCTGAGGACGACCACTTTGCCAAGAACTGGGCACTGGGAGGTTTTTGGGCTGTGGTGTGGGCCATGAATGCAAAGTGGGTGAACAGAGCCCAGCTCGCCTCAAGAGCGCCTCCTCAATGAAGCCGACGGCTGGCCTGGACTCTTAATGGCAGCTTGGCCAATGGTAGAAATGTTATTGGGCGATTCTGCATCTAGCATTCGCTCCACATCTTCTCAACTGGGAGGGGAAAGTGCAGCTCAAAACCACATTCATATAGCTCAGGGCAACGCCACACTGACTGCAAAGTCATCCCTGAACGGCCATAAAACGGCCATAAATCTATGCAGGAGATACAATAAAATCTGATGATCAAAGGAAGTGAAGGAGAAAGCGGCATGCCATGCAGCAGGGAATTTCTGCTCCAACGTGGGTTTCGTAAAACAACAGAGGGAAAAGCCAGTGCAGAACCAGCCATTGTTTGGAGCACAAACATGCAGGTCTTTCAGCTCAGGGAAGAACCCAGGTTCTTTGCAAATCATCCAACGGTTTGATGCAGAATGACACCCTTCTCCCTACGGCTGGATGTGGAAAGGCAAATCTGCTGCCAGGGTAAAGTGCTGGGCTGGGCAAAAGATCTGAACCCGCTCATGACCATCTTTTTTAAAATATCCTTTCTCCATGGAGCTCAGGGCAGTTTAAAAAGAGTCCCCTGCCTCCCCCTTTTCCCCACCCCAGCACCCCTGTGAGGTCAGCTAGACTGCGAGGGAGAGTGGCCCAAAAGTCACCTGGTGAGCTTTGCAGCTGAGTGGGGATTTGAACCCAGGCCTGCCCATTCCTTGCCTCCCTCAGTCTGTAAGTGTCCCACCAAGCTCTCCTTGGAGGAAGGGGGATATAAGTAATATTAATAATGGTTTCTGATATTTTCTAGAAAGCTTATAGTTTGGTCCTACGTACATTTACTTTGAAGCAAATGATCCCATGTTCAGTCAGGCTTCCCCACAAGTACCCGTGCCGAAGGCCGTGGTCTTCCGGACCGATCGTAGCGATGTTTGCATGGAAAGAAGTCCTCCTGTTTTCAGTGGCACTTAACTGAGCAAATGAAATTCCTGTTTTTGCTGTCAAGTCCTGCTGTCTAGGATGGAGAAAATCAAGGCCCTTTGAAAACCTTGACAAAAACGAACTGAGGCCCCGTCACAGGGGCCAGATAAGGTGTGTGTGTGGGGGAGGCGTGGCTGTTCGCCCTGGAGCAAAATAAAGTGCGGTAGCCCGATCACACGGTCCCCCTCTAAGCTGTGGAGTCTTGTGAGCAAAAATTCTTTTTGAGTTGCTGGCATTAAAGTGGTGAGCAAGTGATTTGTCTACTGCATCAATTCTGGAGCCATCCTGAGCTAAGACAAAAATGTGTGAGCTGGAGGCTAAATTTCTGTGAGCTAGCTCACACTAACTCAGCTTAGAGGGAACACTGCTCCCGAATCTCCGTGCTTTGGCTGTTAGCTGGCGATCACACAACGATGCTGCAGCATGGCAAAGAAGCGGTGTGGCGCGATCACACAAGGGTTTCACGTTTGTGCGCATGCGCAGTTTTGCAGAGCAGCACTGCTTTCAGTTTTGTATTTGTGCGCATGTGCTTATGAAAAACATCCGGTTTGCGATGGGACATGGACGGGCGCAGGATGCCACGGGATACTAGCGCTCCCACGATCAGATGCCCGCCTGTGCCACGCGTTTTCCGGATACTAGTGCACTTTCCTTGGTACTTTTTAACTCTGCATCTTCGGCGGGACACCACAGGTTGGCCACGGGTGTGCTACGCTTCCCAGATGTTGTGGTGTGATCACGCTCTGAAAATCCGCCCGGCATTCATGCCTTTTGCACGGCAAATTCTCCGTGTGTCCGGGGCCTGACTTTACATTTGGATGAGGCTCCCCAGGTTTAGGCAGGTACCTCTGAGCTTGTGCAAATTGTTTTATTGCTCTCTTGTGTAAACACAATCAACACCCCTTTTCCAGCACCAGAATGCGTGTTCCAGATGAAATGGGGCGATATCTTTCTGGCTCTGAGCTCTGGCGCCTCTTTGGAGACACTTAATTCTAAAAGAAGGGCCTGTTAAGTTTTTGCAGATTTAATGGCTGAGGAGGACAAGCTTTGGTGGCTGGGGCTGTGAGCTTATTGGCTGCTTTCTAATAAGAGCAGCCTTGTGATTCATTGCCAAAGGAACTGTTTGGCCTTTCCTTCAAGCCACAGGTGGTACCTTTGGTTCATCTTGGGGTTAGCAAGATGAGATGTTAGGTGGTCCATGCATACATCTCCCACCCCCTTTTAAAGGGTAGGTAGCAGCTGGGGAGGGTGCAGTTTGGATTGGGGCCGCTGTGCAAGGAGAGGGAGTTTGGTTTTGCCAGGACTGCTTGAAGGTAATTTTATGGCACCAGGCAAGGTAAAGCCTTCATGGGCTTGGCAGGGACATCTGGCCAGTGACATCCAAGGGGGTCCAGGATTTTTTTTTTTTTTTTTTAACCTTCGACTTTATATCCCGCTCGAACCCCCTTCTCAGGGGGTCTCTGAGCGGCTTACATATGGTGCTAGTCACACACAAATTGCCCTAACTATGGCCACAGAGTTATGGGGTGGGGTTACCTACTAGCACCCTCGTGGTGGTAGATTGACATACTCCTTGGCTCCTTGGCTCGGCGCTTTCCACTTTCATCCCGGTGGGCTTCATTTCGGTCGGCAGTTCCTCCTTTGTTGGGTGCACGACTCGCGCCTTCTTCCG